TTGAGAGGAGCGGAGCTGACTCGGTGACCTTCTACACGGTGCGGTTTGCGTACGAATGGGAGCTCCCTAGAGCTACGTTTGTGAGAGCAATGATCGTTTCTAGATTCCTCACGGGAGTAGTCTTTGGCGACGAGGAGAGATATCAGAGGCTACTCGATGTGGTGCAGAGGGCAACAGAGTTTAGGACAACTGCTATCGAGCTAGCCTGGTTACTTACTTACAATCTAGACAGAGCGATTCCCTCACGTAGACAGTTGCGCAAAATTGTGTTCAGAGTCAGAGACGAAGTAAGGAGAGCTGAGACAAGTGGGGAGATAGACAGGGCCTGGATCTTGGACGGGACTTCTGAGGAGGTCTAGATGCCTAGCAGCGAGATAGAGCACCCGGTGGCATTGAGGGAGTTCACATACGAAGAGCCCGAATTTATAGGCGAAAACTAGGTAGAGTTCACTTTAGCGGGCAGATTGACTCTGGTACCCAACAGAGAGGAAACAGACGGTACCTGGAGGTCGATATTATTGAGGCCGGGGGTTTGGCTGTTGGTGGTGTCTCGTACTGGATTCGACCGAGATAGTAGAGGGAGGGTCGTTCCGACTTCGGTAGAGTTGTCAGTGAACAAATTCCTTTACTATCAGACTACAGTACTCACAGACATTGTACGAAGAGCGGTAGAGCAGGGCCTAGGGATAATACCGAGTCTCGATCGCCATACGTTGGAGGACGAGGCACCGGCGGCGGAAGTGCTGCGGGAGGAGGTTGAGAGACACCAGGAACGACAGCGCCATGTGGACCGAGAATTTAGATCCATACGAGTCTCACTCCGCCTCGCTAAGGAGGGATTTCTGCCACACTCGGAAGAAGCGATAAGGCTTCCCATCCCCTTGTTTGTCTTAGAGGCATTCCTAGGAGGGCTTGACAGGCTATTTCAGGTACATTTAGCTTTTCAGGAGATTCAAACCCTCTTACTGTCAAGTGACGAGCACCACGCTTATTACGCTTTATGGAAGGAGGGGCCTAGGTTTGGGAACGAATGTTTGGAATTAGTAGGGCCGCCTCACCGTAAGACTCGTGGCGAGGGCCTGCTCAGGATCAACCTATTGAGTTCTGGTCCACGTTTGACAGGGCCATACGGGAGCCACCAAACCATTTGGTTGGATTGACAGAGTTGTTTGATGAACAAGGGTTCGACCCTTCTGTTAGGGAAAGGTCCCTTGTAGGTTTTTTTGAGTTAAGGGTTTACTACAAAGGTACCGGGGCTTTCGAGGACGAGGAAGAGCCACCAGAAGACGATTGAGTTGAAGAAGAATTGTTTGCCGACGAGGAAGAGATGTGGGAGGCACAATGGTCGAGGTTAGGGGTCTAGAGTGGCCGCAGTGAGAACTGCCTATGAGAAGGAAGCCACAAACGGGTAACGATAGGGAGTTAGGCAATAATGAATATCAGGTTACTGCCCTAGGATTACAACAACCCTGGACGCCTTAGTTCCAATGACTAGCGGGTGGGCTTTCCCTTACAAAATAGAAAGCTGTATATCTCTGGAAGAACGCCACGCCCCTGGGAAAGCCTATGTTCTCGTGGTAAAACACCTTGACACAGGGGAGTACAACATCCGACCCTACATACCTCTATTGAGAGAGAAGGGGACTGATCGAGAGTGTCTTAGAAACTGGATTAAAAACATAGCCAGACGGGAAAAGAAGGAGCTAGAGAAGAGAGGGGAGAAAGTGATTAGTAACTCATCACCAATCCAATTTTATGGGGTTCCAGAGCCTTGTCTACCGAAAAGCTTTACTGATGGTAGGGATTGGGAACCCTTAATTAACATGGTACTCAGAGCAAGGAGTTGGGACCAGCAGGATGGAGAGAGGAGAGAGTGACCGGACACTAGAGGAAGAATGGTTGAATACGTAAATGACAGGATTAACTGGGAGATAGGGGTCACCTGGGGATTGCCAAAATCTTTCGAGCCAAACCTAGAGGCCCTGTTGCACAGCTGGACGCCTTTGACTAAAGGGGGGGCTTTCCCTTACGTCATTGAATACTACACTGCTTTAATGAACATAGAGTTAAGAGAGAAGGTTACTCGTAGTTAGGTTCGAGGAGACTGATGAGTACGATATTGGGTTCTACAGCAGGAAGGAAAGGGAACTAACTTATGCACTTTGGGGTTGTCGGCACTGGGCTGAAAGTATAGTCTGGGAGTACAGGAAGAAATTAGAGAGGGAAGGGAAGAAGGTGATTGAGTGGGAACATTGACCCAAGGTCAGGGAGTACGACGACTTCCCTAGACCTCCGGTTCCAAACAGCTACGTCGACGGTAGTAACTAAGAACCTATAATTAACATGGTGCTTAGGGCAAGAAGTTGGACTCCAAAGAGAAATTAGAAGAAGACCTAGGAGAAACTGTTGGTTATTGTGATGCCTGGAGCGAGATGCTTGGACATCAGGCGGTGAAAGGGGAGAGAGAGGTAACGAAAAAGGAGAAAGAGAAGTGGGAGTGCAAGGTCATTTATGAAAACCGACCCTCGTCCGAGCAATTCCGGGCAGTGTGTCTAGCCTTGAGTACATTGGGAAGGAAGGAGGAATTTTCGTATGAGGTGGAAACTTATGAGATGGTAGACAGTGCTTGGGAATTAAACCGCCTTTATATTATGACCAGCCATTTCCTGGGGACCAAAGTAAGGGACGTTGGCATTTACTTGCCTATAGAAAGGGAGCCGGATTTTGTGTGCGGGCATTGCTGGGAGAGAGCAAGAGAAGTGGTAGAAGGCGAGGTAGACAGACTTATTTCTTTGGGACAAGAGGTCGCTTGGAGTACCAAAATTAGGACCTTTGAAGGTCTACCAAAGCCGCGAATTCCTTATGAGGCATTGGCAGAGATTGGTCAAGGTTTAATAATTGAATTCATAACTCAGCACCACATCCCGGATGGCCAAAGGAAACGGGAATAGCCAGCTGGAGGGGGATATAACACGCGAAGCAAGGCTATATAACCTTGACAGGAGGAAGTCTCGGGGGCTGCTCAGACTCTTGATGGAATGGACCCAAGAGGACTTGTGCACTCAAGGTACGCCTATCTGTAGAAGGGTTCGGTCTGTTGAAACAGGGTTGATAGAGATTAGGAGAGGAGCCTCTTGCCTACGAGATAGGGAAGGAGAACTCTACCTCGACACTGGCCTGTTCGGAGTAGAAGGTGAACATGAGATAAGAGATGATAGAGGCAGTTTGATACGAGCCTTGAGAGCAGTGAAGGATTAGGGCCGGAAAGACGATGACCGAGAGCGCTTTCAAGACTAGGGGTAAGACTAGACGTGATGCCAGGAGACGTGACGGAAGATGAGGAGGTCTAGAAAACTAACTAAGGATGAATCGAGGAAGTTGGTCCATTCCCTTAACTCTATATCAAAGAGAGCTGTGATCCCTTATGAGATCGTAAAATATGAAGGTCTAAAGAGTCAAGGGTGGGGGTTTGATGGTATGTATGTTCTCACTTACTACTTTATCGAGCTTGATGAGTTTGACATTGGGATATACGTGCCGCAACATAGGTTTAAAGAAGACGAAAAAGGGCGTTGTTGGCAACGAGCGTCGAACATAGTGCATGACGAGAAAAGAAGACTCCAACGACTTGGGACAAATTTTTCCTGGAGTACCTACGTTAGGCCCTTCATTGGAATACCCTTACCACCTATTGAAGAGCTTACGTTCGCTAACGATGATTGGTCAGCCGTAATAGACCTCGTATGAAAGGTTAAGAGGGCGCAAGACGAACTCAACGATGCCGAGAGCAGTAACTGAAGAGGAAGAGGTGAATCGCGTATCGTTCGCTGGTAGAGTGACATCAGTCATTAGAATTCGGTCAACCAGGTCTCTAGACGAACAGGGTTGTAGACAACTTGCTCAAAGGGCAATTGAGAGGGAGAGACCTAGGGTTCTGGAGCTAGTGAGAGCAGAGAGAAGGATAACCTATGATGTGATGGTTTGGTCTCAAGGATGGCTGAGGTACGAAGTGGAGAAGGACGAGACAGTCTAAGAGGCAGAATCCCGCGTGTAAGAGGAAGTGACGAGAAAGTTAACTCATTACTAGAAACATACTCGGACCCGATAAACGATAAGATAGTACAGTTAGTGGACGGGTATAAGGAGTGGAGTAGCTCTACGGATGTGCAAGAATTACGGGCGCTCGAACAAAAGTTTGAGGAACTGGCCTTAATCTATAAGGAGGAGAGGGAAAAAATAATAAACTGGAGGGAGGAGTTTCTGGCAAGGAGGAGAGAGATCCCCAGAGAAACCGAAGAGAGGAGGAATGGCTAGTACCGGAGGCGCAACTAGGAAGTATCAGCTAGTCGGGGGAGCAAAAATTGAAGGGTCCCTTGTGCGAGCTAGGGTAGAAGTGATACATAACGAAAGACTGAGTCGACTAGAAGAGCAATTAAAGAAACTATGATCTGTGCTATCAGGAAGGCAGCTGACGAACTTCGATTGGCGAAGATTGAGATATGTACGACGCCGTTTGAAGGAAATGAACTTTTCAGGGAGTGGAGAGAGACTATAGTGGAGGCAAAGACTAGACAAAGGGAGGACGTTCGCGAGCCTGAAGAGCTTTCTAATGACGTGATTGACGGAGTTTCCCTAATGAACCTTGGAAGCTAACTCTCGTTATACGACGGCTCTGTTGACCACTGCTTTGGTAATCAGGGCGGAAGGACAAAACGCTGACTTCGAAGAGCTGCAAGAATTGTTGGACGGTTCTACTGAAAGGATCCTGGCCGCTTTAAGAAGTGTGGCCGAAAGCTAGACAGGGTGTTCAAGGATTAGTTAGGGAGGATGGACGGAGAAGGAGTTTATCTAACCTCGATGGGAGGTGAAGTGAAAACACAGGAATCGAGAACGAATAGCCGGACAGAAAAGTGAGCGTCGACGTGGACAACGACACGGAGAGAATAAGGAGGGTCTTAAGAGAACTAGATACTCGTGTCAAGGAACCGGAGGGGCGAAGCACTAGGAGCGAAGGCTGAAGGAAAGAAGTTTTGAGTAGGACAAAGATTACAAGGTTTGTGGATCCTGGGGTAAGAGAACCTCATAGAGAGGTCGCGAGTGAGCCTTACAGGAGGGGATCTTACTCCATGGCGTATACACCAGGCACTTATGTGTCTCCCTTCCTGACGGCTCCAGCGTTACAATCTCCCTGGCTGGCTGGGATTCAGACAATCTTTACAGGGAAGAATGTCACAGAATTCCTAGATGATTTGGAAGTGTTAGGAATGCGAGCGGAATGGAGTGATCAAGATATGATAGTGAACTTCCTCCACCATACAGCCCCGAAAATAGACCGTGAAGTGAGGGACGCCATTCCAGATAATTGGTGTTGGTTGGCGTTTAGGGAGAGAGTCGCCCGAGTCTTCGCATGTGACGAGACCTCTTACTCAATAGACGATTTGAAAAAGATGAAGAAGCAAGAAGATGAGAGTCTAGTTGCGTTTGCGAGGAGATACGAGAAGGCGTCTAATCCCCTGGTAGGAGGGTTTATGGGGGAGATAGAGCGATGCGGGATATTTTTAGGGTTCTTATCCCGAGAGAAACGCGATAAGATCATGAGGGATCTTCCGTCCAGGGTGGTATTCGGTCAAGTCAAGCTTTTAGTCCACAACACGGAGGGGCAAAGCGCTAAATCACACCTCGCAAGGATTCTCGACAACCTAGGGAAGGAAGTAACTGCGGACAATGGGGGAGGAAGACCTCACTATGAGGATAGAAGACCCCGAATTGAAGGAAGAGATCTCGGCACAGGGTCGCCTAGGAGGGGGGAGTCGGTCAGAGGCGATAGCGATTGGAAGAAAGGAGGAAGAGGGGACAGGAAAATGAACGACGGAGAACGGGGGACTTCTTCCAAGTGGTCCAACATTAAAGATAGCCGGTGGAAGCCGAATGAAGAGATAGAGGTTAGGAGGTCTGAAAGACGAGAGGAGGAGATGGTGAAGCAGATAAAAATCCTGAAGGCGGCGGTGGAGAAGTTACAAAGTAGTAGTCAAAGGAAGGAAGAGACCCCGACTCGGTCTGCTCCCCGAACGGAGAATCACGGGGACCCTAGTCTGAAGCGGACTTGGAATAGTAAGACCTGTATCTACTGTGCAGATGAGGACCACCAAAAGAGAGACTGTCGTGCGATGATGGAAGCCTTGACGGAGGACATCATCGAGTTAGATGATCGAAAGTATGGGATGTGGGCGGATGAAGGGAAGCCAGTGCCCTTCCTACCCTCGATGAAGATTAATGTAGATATCAGGAGGCGAAGGATGAATGAGGCGAAGGGGAAACAAGAACAAGAGCCAGCGGGAGCGAAGGTTTCCCGAGTGGCATTCGAGGAGGATCTTGATGAGCTGCCGGAGAGTCCTGGGATGAGGATTTCATCTATTAAGTTTGAAGAAACAGAGGATAATGACGAAGTTTACGTTTGCACTCAGGGTGTTGGCGAGTCGAGTAAAGGAAAGAAAGAAGACCGAGACCAACCAATGACGGACGAGCAAGTGGAGTCGCCTAAGTCACCTCAGTCCCCTAGAAAAAAAGGGGCCAAGAAATTTCACTTAAAAAGTTCACTGGATGAGGTAAATTTGAGAGGGCCGTTAAGGAGGGTTATGAATATGCCCATTCCTATTACCTTGAAAGAGTTGATAGTCAGTTGTGGATCAGCGCGGGGTGAGCTAATAGAAATGATGAAGAAGGCGAAGGTGCCACTAGCAGAGGCTACGGCTTCAAGCGAGCCGAAGATAGAGATGAAGACATCTGTTCTAGTGGCGGAGAAAGGAGAAGTAGGGCATGTAGAGATCAATGATGATGGAGACGATTATTTTTATGTCCTTGGTAGCGGGAAGTTGAACGCCATCGTCAATGGGATAAGGATGGAATCTATAGTAGACGACGGGTCTGAGTCTACCGTCTATGAGGATAAAGTGACCCGAAAGCTTGGTCTAGAGGTAGACAGGAGTGTAGCCATGACCATGGTATCAGCCAACAAGCTAAAGCAGCTTGCGCTAGGGGTGTGTCATAAAGCCAAAGTCGTAGCCGCTGGGGTCGGAGTCACTGTACCTGTATTTACAGTTGAACACTGCTCTTCGGAGCTAATCCTTGGACGAACATGGCTGACACGTGTCAATGCCACCACCGAGAATAAGCGGGATGGGAGCCAGACGGTTACCATAAACGGGCCCGACGGAAGCAAGGTCACTCTTAAAACCGTGAACGAATTTGACAAACGTCACAAGGTATCCCTACAGAATAGAAGGGTTGTTAAAACCAAGAAGTTGTCAGATGATTCCCGACGAAGTCGCTCTTGGGCCTCATAAAGTAAAAGGCGCGAAGATCGAAGTAGAGGAGTTAGAGAGCAAGTATGTGGTAGACGAGACGGCATACGAAAAGCAGCTTGATGACAACGAGTTTGGTGGGTGCGTGAACCTGTCTTTTTTGGAGGAATTCCCCCTCACGGCGGGGGGAAGAGATACAAAACTGTAGCTCAAAAAGTTAAGCCAGCCGCGGTCAGCCGTGATAGGACCGGGGAAATAGGAATCACTGAGGAAGAGATCACTCAAATGATTAGGGAGCGAAAGGCTACTGAAGGACAAAGAATTACCGATGACAGGATAGAGGGGATGGACATTGGTGACGGGAACATAACTAAAGAGGAGAGGGAATTGATGATAGACACCTTAAGAGCGTGTGACAAGGCAGTAGCCTTTTATGACGCGGAGAGAGGAAGGATAGATCCCAGGTATGCTAAGCCCGCAAGGATCTATACGGTGTCGCACGTGTCGTGGAATGATGCTGCGTGGATGTGCGCGCAAAAGGAGAAGGATATAATAGTGGATTTCCTGAAGGAAAAGATAAGAACGTTCGTGGCGGAACCATGTGAGAGCGCCTACGCCAACAGATGGTTCTTCATTCGGAAGTCGAATGGAAAGCTCCGATGGATACAAGACCTACAAAAAACGAATAAGGTTACAGTTAGGGACGTCAGATTTATCCCAAACGCAGATTTTGTCTTTGAGGGAGCTGTCGGGCGCTCGATTTATTCGGTCTGCGACCTTTTCTCAGGCAAAGACGAGATTCCGCTTGATTACCGAGACCGACACCTAACTGCAATGCATACGCCGCTGGGGCTAATACAGATGATGGTGGTACCCATGGGATGGACCAATGGCGTGGCGGTCTTCCAAAGAGCGATGGTGGCTGTCCTAGGAGAACTTATACCGAATCTGGTGGAGGTTTTTCTGGATGATTTCCCAATCAAGGGACCCTATGAGAAGGACGAGACTTAGGTGAGGCCTGGGGTAAGGAGATTCGTCGCCACCCACGCTGAAGATATTAAGAAGGTGCTAGTGAAGTTGGAGGATGCTCATCTAACCGTAAGCGGAACTAAAAGTAGGTGGGCAGTGTCTTCTATAAAAATAGTAGGCTACATTTGAGATAGGGATGGTAGGAGGCCGGACCCCGCGAAGTTAGAGAAGCTTATGAACTGGCCTACTCCGTTACGGCATATTACCGATATATGTCAGTTTCTGGGGGTGGTTGGGTTCTGGAAGAACTTCATAAAGGGCTATGCTGGGAAGGCCGAGCCGCTAAGGAGGCTCTTGCGCAAAGAAGTGGAATGGAGTTGGACGAGTGAGCAGGAGGATACTGTGAGAGCCCTAAAGGATGAATTTAAAGAAGGGGGACAAGTTTTCGGTGTTCCTTACTTTGAGGACGAGGAGAAGCGACCATTTGTGGTATGCACAGATGCGGGACCTGCCTCCGTTGGAGGAGTCTTAGCTCAGAAAGACCAAGAGGGTCGTGAGAGACCTCTCATGTTTGAGAGTAAGACCCTTAACAACACTGAGAGGAACTATTCACAGTTTAAGAAAGAAGTCATCGGGGTGCTACACTGCCTGAATGTCTTTCGACATTATATTTACGGTCGAAGATTTGTACTGTGGGTTGACCCAATTGCCGTAGCGGCCGTCATACAGAAAGACTTTTCATTAACGGATCTCACTATTACTAGATGGCTCATGCATATAAGGATGTTCGATTATGTAGTAGAACGGATATCAGGGGCTAAAAATTCTGTTGCGGACGGCTTATCGCGAATTCCGCTAGAAGATGGTAACCTAGGATCGCCTGGTGGAGTCTACAAGTTCTTACAGATGGAGATAGGCTCTCTAAGAGTAGAGCCTAGTACGACCAGGGCTCCTCTATTCCTTGAGAACCTCTATCCAGGGAAGTACCACCGGATATGACGATATCTCACAGGGGGGGCTGAGACGGATGATAAGGTTAGGAAGGAGGCTCAACAGTATTGCCTAAGGGCAAACCACCTCTTTAAGAGGCCGCCTAAGAACGGGATGCCGATGAGGGTCGTTTGTGATGAGGGTGAGCAACGAGACATAATAGCGGAACTTCACGACGGCGTCGTTGGGGGACAAATAGGAGTGAGAGAAACCTTTGAGAAGGTCAGGAACCTTTATTGGTGGGATGGTCTATATAGGGACGTGGAATCGTACTGTCTCACATGCGTGGAGTGTCAGAAAAAGGTTGTGGTTAAGTATAAGGAACCTCTGTTTCCTTCGTATCCTACAGCGGTAGGTCAGAAAGTTCACGTGGACTTAGTTAAGATGCCCAAAGGAGAAGGGGGGATGAATTATATCATGGATATTAGGGACGACTTGACCGGATTTGTAGAAGCATGACCATTACATCAGAAAACCGGCAAGGTTGTTAGTGGATACCTGACGGAATACATCACGAGGTATGGTTGTGTAGGGAAAATCATCATGGATAGAGGATAAGATTTTATGGCTAAGGAAGTTCAGGAGCTGCTCCAGAGAGCGGGGATACGGGTGTCGCTATCCACGACATACCATCCCCAAACTAACGCTCCTGTAGAAAGGGGACATCAGTCTCTAGTGAATGCGCTCATCAAATGGTGTGAAGGAAAGGAAAAGAAGTGGCCTAGGTATCTAAGATTTATTGTCTGGGCGGATAATATTACGGTTAAATCAACCACGGGATATCCGCCCTACACCTTGTGGTTTGGCAGACACTGCCCCTTACCAATAGAGTTTCATATCGACTCTTGGCAGACGATTGACTGGGAAGAAGTCTCGACTAGAGAGCAGTTGTTGGCCGCTAGAGTCAAACAAATAGCCGAAACCCTTGAGGATAGCACCCTGGATGCTACGTAAAGGCTAAGGATTTAGAGGGAAAAAGAGAAGGAAAGATGGGACAAGCATACCCGAGTAAGGCAAGAAGGCATACCCGCGGGGGGCTTAGTGATGCTTTATGATTCTTCGTTAGAAAGGACTTGGACCTGTCTCTTATACACATCTAGATGTGTATAAGAGACAGCCCTGGATGCTACGTAAAGGCTAAGGATTTAGAGGGAAAAAGAGAAGGAAAGATGGGACAAGCATACCCGAGTAAGGCAAGAAGGCATACCCGCGGGGGGCTTAGTGATGCTTTATGATTCTTCGTTAGAAAGGACTTGGACTGGGAAGTTAGCAAACCGATGGATGGGGCCCTATCGTGTGGTAAAGAGGCTGGAAGGTGGAGCCTATCTGATAGAGGAACTAGACGGGGCTAAATGGGCGGAACCAGTACCTGGTGCACGCTTAAAAGTCTTTAAAGGTCGAAAGGAGCTTACCCTGCATCCGCGGAAAGATAAAGAGAAAGAAGAAGTCGACAAGCGGCTGGAAGGGAGCCTGGTGAAGTGTGAAGAAGGACCTATTGGGGAGGTCACTCGTGAGACAGGAGAGTCCTCTAAGAAGTCTCCAAGGAAGGGGAAAGGGAAGGTCCTAGGAGTCAGGGGTAAACAATGGAAAGGCACGAAGGAGAAGAAGTCCGAAGTCGTAGAATCGGTCGGGTTGAGAAAGGAAAGGAAGCGTAAGGGTAAAGAGGCTATTAAGCCATGCTGGGGATAGACAAGACGGAAAGTGAGCGCCGTTATAGGAACAGGCAACGGGGGTTCACCAACCGATTAGGGGTCAAAGAGAGATTGGTTAAGAAGAAGCTAAGAAAGAAGAAAAAGCAACAAAAAGGGACTCGGTGAGGAAAAATAAGACAATCTTGGGTTGATAGGTAGAGATTAGGATGTCAGCTTTTCTCCTCCCTTTTCCTGGATGTACCGAGATCGCTCGCCGGGAACGTCGAGAATGGGGGGGGGCTGCTGTCGGGCGGCTCCAATACTATGCCGCCCTTTACTTCCTTTAAGAGGGCACGCGACGACAACCCCACTCAACAGTATTCTACCTGGCCGGGGTTCACCGACCGTGAGGCAGACCAACACCATGACCATCGGGGTCACCGATGTTTACCGATCGTGCGACGAGACGRCACTCCGAAGGAGCGGGGCGGCGACATCCTTCTTTGGCGTTATTTTGCATGGTCGGGACTCACTGACACCGAGGCAGACCAATGGTACAATCGAGGGGGCTACTTTACCTAGTCGGGACTCACCGACCATGACGTAGGCTGGCGCTACGGGCAAGGGGGCCACTCGGCAAGTTGGATTTTCCTTCGAAGGGGCGGTCCCGCTAGGACGCGGGGTCCGCCTAGGCCCAATTGATTGACGAGACCAGTTTTTACTTACGGGGCCCGACTGGATTTTCCCCTAAGAGCGGTACCGCTACCGCGTGGGGACCGCCTAGGCCCGGGCGGCCTAGGACAGGCCCGGAAGTAGGCTCGGTACCGGGGCGCTGCAAAGGACCCGGTTCCCGATAGGAAGGACCTTTCCACCCCGACCTTTTCGGAGGCCCAATCACGCCCGGGCGCAGCCAGGTTACCGAGGCGCTGCAAGTGTTTCACAGCCTCGGTGCACCGGAGGCCGGGGCACACACGCACACACTTGTCGGAAGGGCCCGACAGAGTACTTAAGCTCAACCGGGCCCAGGCATGGGGCATTACCGACATGCGAGCTTCAAGCGCACGGGACAGGGGACACGGACTGGGACACGCACGGGAGCTGACACGAGCGAAGCTCACGCACGTACGGGACATCTCACGGGAGGAGCAGAGGCGCGCGAGACATCACGCAGGCGGGGGATGGGTCACACAGGAGAGGCGCGCGGGAACGACACTCGCTGAGACGCACGAGCCACCAGGGCACAACGGAGCACAAACAGGCGGGCGCTCCAGGGAACCACGCACTGTAGCGCGTACGGGGGAGCCGCGCACCGTTGCGCTAAAAAAATACCACTTACGGGGAAACCGCGCACCGTTGCGCGCAAGGAGAACCACTTACAGGGGGAACGCGCACCGTTGCGCGCGAGGAGGACCACCTGCGGGGACAGTCGCGCGACATTGTGCGCACGGGGGTCCGCTTGCGGAGGGAGTAGT